GACACACAAGGTAGTTGATGAAGGGCGCCTGGGCGGGGGAGGACACCCGCAGCCGCCGCAGCGCGGAGAACATCAGGCAGCCCAGGGGGGAGGTCCACTGGTTGCCTCCGCGACCTGGGAGGGGGGGCCCCGGGGGGTGATGGGGACGGTGCTGGTGCTGCTGGTGAAGTTGTGTGTTGAGGACGGGGGAGGGGGGGGGATTAGGTGTAGCGACATACACTACATGCACAGAATTGGCTGCCGACAGGGGTGGTGGTGGTGGTGGTGGTAGTGGTGGCGTGGTGGTGTGGAAAAGTGGTGGTGTTGGGGTTTGAGGAGAAAAAAGGAAAACGAAAATGCTGCACTTCTTTTTGCAAAATGTCCATGAAGGGCAGGGCAGAGCAGGGTAGGGCAGAGGCGCGTGTGTCTCTCTCTCTCTCTCTCTCTACTGGAAAACCCTAGTCTGGGGACCTGGCGTGAACACTGGATCCTTTCCCTGCCCGTTTTGTCGCCTTCCGCAGACCCGTACAGACCCGCTTAAACCCCAACCCGCCGCTGCCGTACATTTCGTTCCACTCCTCATCCATATCGCAAAACCCTAAACCCCAATGGCTCTTTCATCTCCCCGTGACTCGGACCAACCCGAATTTAGTTCCTTTAGAGACCTAGGTGGCGCCATGTCCAGTCCGGCCTCTCCGGCTCAGCGCGCTCCGGAACCTTCCATAGCTCCCTCCGAAACCAATGGTTGCACCACTCGTACGTCTCCTCCGAATCGGGGCCTCAGTACCGCACCCTTTACCTTTGCCACTCGTTTGTCGGTCCGCCACCGCCACGACACCGTCCCCCAGCAACGCCCCATGGCTCCTCAGTAGCTCCTGTGTGGAGTCGAGAGTCGCAGCCGCCAGCAGCACGCGACCCATGGTTCGCGTGCCGCCCTCCGTGACTGGCTGAGCCAGACGCCGGGAGCACTCGGCGGCGTCGAACGCGGGCATCGCGCATGACGGTACGGCAGATGGATTGAGGTGCAAGACGAGTGCAGGCCCGCCAGAACCACCGGGTTGAGCGTCTGCTGCAGCGATCTGTGCGGCCGGAGTGAACCGTGGGTGGTCATAGTCAGCTGGTTAGGTGGCTGCTTTGTAAAGGTCACGTGGCCACGTTGTGTGCATGTGCATTTTAAAGGCGGACTGGCTGTGGCTGGCGTCATATGGCGGTTGGGCGGGTGGGAATCCTACATGCAAGGTCATTTCCAAAGCACCAACTGGATGGTTGGGGAAGGGAAGGGGGCACTGCGGTGTTGCAACGTAGGCAACGCACTTGGCGGCAATTTTTGGATTTCATGTCCCGCAATACTGTCGTGTATCGTGAACTACGCGGCGGTTGTGATTCAGTTATTCCCGTATAGACACTGTACCTCTTTAGCGACCTGCTCTACTCGGGCCGCATCGTCGGACGTTCGACAGAACGCAACGACGTGGTGCACGGCATTATTGGAATCCGACATGGTGGACGAGGCCAATGCTCTTGCTCCTGTCCGTGTTGAGACGGAACCAATTACAGCACGCGAGGTCGCAGGCCGTGCAATGTGAGAAGGCGATGAGCAGATTGGGTCCGTGCCGCTTGTGGTAAATATCGATGATCGGCGTTGGTGCCTGGAGGCAGCCAACGGGGCCCAAAGCGTTTGCCCCCAGCGCTCGCGACAGCAGAGGTTAAACCGCAGCGGGCTCAAGACTATTTTTTGCATATTGTTATGATATAACACATATTATACAGGTATTCGCTGAGCAACTATATGTTGCTCCAGTTCCGTACGTTAATTGGGACACAGGCAAGGATAATGGCGAAGGAAATGAGTCTCACTAATTGTTGTTGAATAGCAAATGGTTCCAGTGGAAAGCGGTGTTCAGCATGTCTTGTCCATCAGAGCCTCAGTTCATATTTCCGTACAATTGGGCGGGAGACAAAGCAAAGGTTACACTACCGCTTGGAAAGGGTTGAACAAAGAAGACTATGAAGCATTAGGTTTCTTATAGCTAGAAGTTAAGCCTTGTTCTATTAGACCGTCTAAAAATGCAAGCAACGAAGTATGTTTTGGTTACGGGTGGAGTCGTCAGCGGCCTTGGCAAGGGCGTGACGGCGAGCAGCATTGGAGTGCTGCTAAAGAATTGCGGATACCGTGTGACATCAATAAAAATTGGTGCGGTCGCCACTACATGGCGCGTCAAACTACCTGTCGCCGTCAGGAGTCCCTCCATCAGATCCCACGCCCCGTAGATCCCTACCTAAACGTGGATGCGGGTACTATGTCCCCATTTGAGCACGGAGAAGTGTTTGTACTGGACGACGGCGGCGAGGTGCGCCACACTGGCGGCTAGCACCATCGTATGAGGCCGCAAACTTAACTTAATTGAATTGGTTATCTCCAGGCAGACTTGGACTTGGGCAATTATGAACGCTTCATGGACATCACTCTTACCAGGGACAGCAACATTACGACGGGGAAGATTTACCAGGTCGGCAGAAGCACCACGTCCTGTGCCTTTCAGATAAAGCCATAGGATACTATCACATTTAACACGCAAATATAATCATGTGTGTTTTCGTGCCTACAGTGTTGGTTAGGTTAGTTATCATTTAGGGTTTTCACGATTTACTGTCTGTCCCCTGCACCCGTCCCTTTTCGTTGTTAAGGCAGTGATTGAGCGCGAGCGGCGAGGTGACTACCTCGGGAAAACAGTGCAGGTGCGAAATGATACGGGGGTTTTAATTCTTGAAAGAGACCATCTTGCTTCGTAGATGTTGTTCAACATGTATCGTGCACCTGCCTCACGTTTGGCGATGTACTCGCGGTACTGCAGGAAGGGAAATGTAAGCCCAAGTGGTAGCCACGGCTACATTTTGACCCTGGAACTTTAGCCTGCCTGTGTCTGAGAGCTCCTGAAGTTCGACGCTGTTTAGTGCCAGACCCCGCATGCTCTTCGACTCATCCACTTGCTAAAGCTGCAAACTACGTTTTTTCCTGAAAAGTACACTTCCTGTAAGCTACTGTACTAGTGTTTGTTTTTTCGTTTCCATAAACGGCGCCTTCATAGCACCTTCCATCCTCGTAGCTTCCTTTGCCGTACGCAAGGATCCACATGTATCTATTCCCAACGTTTTCTGTATGTAACCCACCGTGCCGTTCTCCACCTTTTTCCATTTGGGTCCACTCCATGCTGCCTCTGTTAACGCACGATAACTCTTAGAACCCGCTTTCTTTAAGTTTAAGTTTCTTATCCGTGCGCCCCTGGCCCCTGCGCTACACTTTGACGACGACGACATCACGCAGGTGGTCCCGCATATCACTGACGCGATCCAGGATTGGATCCAGCGGGTTGCCGTACAGCCCGTGGACGGCAAGGCCGGTGTACCGCACGTGTGCGTGATTGAGTTGGGCGGCACCGTGGGCGACATTGAGTCGGCCCCGTTCGTGGAGGCGCTTCGACAGTTTTGCATCCGCGTTGGCGAACACAACATTTGCAACGTGCACGTCTCCCTCGTGCCTGTCATTGGTGGGTTGAGTCCCGCGTGTTTTTAGCTGTATGTATGTATGTATGTATGTATGTCCTTAACGTCCTTTTGTGTCTCTTTGTTGATGTCGATCACGGCGATATTATATGTATTAATATACAATCCTGGACATCCCTTCTCCTTAGAATGCGCAGACTAGCCGGTGGCTTGCTTACTTGCCTGCTTAGGTGTGTGTATGTTGTTACAGGGTGGTTAACTTCGCCAGCGGCCCCCTTTCCCGGGGCAGTCCCTGCTCTCCCCTGCTAGAGGGGCACCCTAATCCGTCACCCCATCCGACTTCAGAATGTATTCGTTGGGTTCGGCAACTCACCACCAGCATCCAACCAAATCTAGCGGATCAACGGCGCATCAACTTAGTTCCTGGTCAGCTCGCAAGTTGATATAATCACGTCCTACACCGTCCATATGATGGGGGGCCACCTCCCATTTCATCACTCCTCAAACACCCGAGGAGCTGGCAGGCGGATTTGAACCCGGGTCGACTGGATCGACTGGGAGCAGAAGTCAGGCCTTAACTTCTGCCAGCCGCCTGCCTGTGTATATATGTATGTATGTTCCTCTGTGAGCTATTAAACGTTGTTTGGTGATACATCTGATCTCGCGGGAAGGGTGGTCGCTGTTGGGTGACGGTTAGAGGGTAAAGAAAGCCGTAATTCTCCCCTGTCGTAATTACGAATCGGCTGATCCGCGGACCCACGGGTCTGTCATCCGTCGCACGCAGGCGTGGTTGGCGAGCAGAAGACCAAACCCACACAGCACAGCGTGCAGGTGGGAGCAGTACCGTTCCGTTATTTGTTGGGTGTTTTCTGTTACCCCCCAACCACCACCATCACTTCATCCTGTGCATTACCCATCTATCTAGTATGTGCCTAAAACCCATCTATCTGTCTAATCTGGGTGGGGCTCCGGAGCCTGGTTTGGTTTGAATATTTGGGCGGTTTGGGCCATAAATGTCGCGATGACAACTTCAGTTTGGGTCCGTTGCCACAACCTGACTCCGACAAGTCACAAGAACGCAGTGAAGGACTGTAACGACGCAAAATGCCAAACTGGGCATCCCGGGTTACACCTTTGCTGTGTTACACTGCCAGGCTAATGGCCACTGGTGAAGCTAAATATAGACATCCCCCTATTTTTACGGCTTTGCTGTGTTACAAGGACGCTGGGGATTGCCGGGGGGTGGGGGATGCGGAGCTGCCAGCCCCGTTCCATAGCCCCCTCTTCCTCCACCCGCACACACGCCGACCTGTCCGCCCGTCCGCGCTCTAGGTCTGCAGATTTCCCCCTAAACCCACCTACCTATCCTAATGATACAACGCCCCGCTACCTTGCTACCACCATTATCATCACCGCCATTATCACCGTCGTCAGGTCTTGCGGTCGCTGGGCATCACCCCCGCGTTGCTGGCGTGCCGCAGCTCGCACCCCCTGGAGGAGAGCGTCAGATCCAAGCTGGTGTGTTTTTTAAGGGGGGGATGATTGGAGTTTGGGTCCGGGGCTGGGGGGGGAGGAAGGAGCTCGTGCGGGGGAAAGCGAGAGGCGCGGAGAGCCCCTAGACTGCCTCCTGTTTATGTGGGGTCTGTGTTCGTGTTCGTGTTCGGGTGGGGCTTTCCACTGGGTGATGGTGGAAGGGTTGGGTGGCGGGATCAGGGAGATTGCGGTGTATGTATGTATGTATGTATGTATGTTTTTATGGTCTCAGGGTTGGAGCCGTGATGATGAAGGCAATGCCGATGGCGGTAATACACGGGTTTTGACTTGACCGAGGCGAGCTCTACAATCCAGCGACGTGTTAGGATTTGGAAACCGGTGAAACTGTAGACGTTGTAGCTGGGGGATGTTTGGCCACTGGGCAGAGAAGAGGAAAGAGGAGGGAGACGGGGGAGTGAGACGGGTTGGGGGGAGTGAGCGCGTCTTTCTGGTAAGTGAGGGGCGGGGAATCTAAAAACACACACACGCGTGGGTGCGTGTGTTGGCTACCTGGGGTTGGAGCCTGGTGTGTTACCAGGTCACTCAAAAGAGCGGAGGTAGGGAACGGGGCGTGAAACACACCGGAGGTATTACGTTGGTGGGTTGGGGGAGGAGGGAGATTACGTAGAGGGGGAATGGCAAGGAAAAAGGAGGGGGGATGTATCATACGCAATAATGAACTCAACTTTAGGTTGAAGGACGTCCGAAGGGAAGAGGGGGGAAGGGAGGCGCAGTGCAGGGTTTGCACATTTGGCGATTTGCCAGGTGGATTTCGGTTGCCGGTGCCTAGCCCCAGCTTTGGCTGCTTTCCCGGTGTGTCCTGTACGACATTCTGTACGGCGTTTGCGACTCTGGTTTTTCCATTCTACCCTGATGGGCTCTTCTTCCATGATCTTTCCAATCCTGCCTAGTTGTTTCCTCCATAACAATACTAATAACTTTATTTTTTTAATAATTATAATAAATATTATAATGATATTATTATTAATTGCGATCATGATGATGGTGGTGGTGATGATGCAGGCGCTCTTCTGCAACGTGCCCACCGCCAATGTGCTCTCGCTTCACGATGTGTCCAACATCTGGAGAGTACCGTTACTCATGCAGGAGCAGGTGCGCGCACGTGTGTATGTGTGTCTGTTTTGGGTCTACGTGTGTGTATGTGTGTCCACCCGCCAGTCGGGTGGAATTCACGGGGTTCGGGGTGCCATAACCCGGAAGCCGCTCCCCCCTGCCGCGCCCTCCCCCTTCACTCTACTTCCTTTTCCATCCTTCCGATTTCCCCCCCCAACAGCCCTCCTCCCCCCTTTCCCTCCCTGCCTTTTGCTGCCCCGCGCTCTCCTCTCCTCCCCTGCTCTCCTCCCCTCCTCCATTTTCCCCCTTACCCCGCCGTCGTCTCCCCTGTTCACAGCATTTCACTTCCCTCTCCCTCCTCGTCCCCCTCCTTCCCGCCTTCAAGAACGCCTTTTGGTCAGTCCTATTTCTGGTACACTCTTGCCCTGGCAGCAGCTTCACTCGTTCGTGGTTCGTCCTTCCCCTTCTTCCCCTCCCCTTCTTCCCCTCCTCCTTCCCCCAATCCCCCCATCCATACCTCGGTTCCCCTGTTGCAGGCCGCGCACCACATTATTTGCTCCAAGCTGGGGTTATCCAACGCTGACAAACTGGATTTGAGTGCCTGGAAGGTGAACCTGGCGGACCGCTGGGACTCCCTGACCGAACCCGTGACGATCACGCTTATCGGTGAGCAGCGAGTACGAAGATGAAGCGTTCGTACATTTTGTATGTAGGTGTGTTATGAGATGATGGGGTCTTTTACCCGTTTCGTTCACATGGCCTTTGCAATACGTGGGCCTTGTTTGACCGGAAAAAACGGTTTTTATGACAACTACCTATGACAACTACCACCCAGTTTTTTCTATCGTTGCAGTGCATAGTTGCGTCGTATGCCATATTGTGATGTCCCCATGACCCTCTCCCCAATCCCCCCACTTCTCCAAGGATGTGGGGAGATATAACAGACGTGTGCTTCCGCATTCCCGCGGCAACGCAGGGTTACACGGGTTTACATACACCCCCTTCCCCCCTCACTCTCACTCTTCTGTGGTTCTGTGGTCCTACCACCTCCCACTCCCCGTTCTGTTCTCCGGTGCTTTCCTCCCCTTCTCCCCCCTCAGGCAAGTACACCAACCTCTCCGACGCCTATCTCTCGGTCATCAAGTCGCTCCAACACGCGTGTATGGAGGCCCGGGTCAAGTTACAGCTGGAGTGGGTGGAGGCGGCGTCTTTGGAGCCGCAGAGCAAGGAAGTGGATCAAGCGCTGTACGACGCAAGGTACGGCGTGGTGTTGGTGGTACGTGAGGGCGGGGAGATGTATGTGGGGTGGGTGGGTGATGTTGGTGGGTTGTGGTGTCTGGTGTGTGGGTAGATGTGGGTTGGGTGTGCTGTAGCAGCCGTCGTACAGTACGGCACACAGCATCAATGCATATAGGCGCTAAAGCGCGATTCCAGCATTTCGCGAGGCGTTTTTTTCTGGGCGGTCAGGTACTGCTACGGGTGCATGGGCTTGTGAGTTCATGTCGGCATGGCCGTGTTGTGACGCGTTCCATCCCTCTTTTTTCTCTCTCCCCTTCTCTCTCCCTGTGTGTCACACCCCTTCTCTCTCGCTGTGTGTCACTTCCTGCAGTTGGCAGAAACTGGTGGAGGCTGACGGTATCCTGGTTCCTGGTGGTTTCGGATCCCGCGGGGTCGAGGGCAAGATCCTTGCCGCCAACTACGCGCGAATCAACAAGAAGCCATACCTGGGCATCTGTCTGGGCATGCAGGTGTGCGAACATATGTATGTCTGTGTGTGCGGTTAAATGACAGGTAGCCCACAGGGCCGATTGATTGGATGCTCCGCAGCATGCGTGTGTGTGTATGGCATGACGGTCTGTCAGCTTCACGGTCTGCCTTCCCCGATCTGTGTCTCCCCTTGTCTCCTCTTGCCCAGATTGCCGTCATTGAGTTCGCCCGCAACGTGTTGGGGCTGACCGAGGCCAATTCAACGGAGTTCGCTCCCGCCACCCCGAACCCCGCCGTCGTCTTCATGCCGGAGATCTCCACCACTCACAAGGGTGGCACCATGCGGCTTGGCGCGCGCCGTACTGTACTGCAGACCATGAGCTGTATGTCTGCAAAGCTGTACCAACGGGAGCTGTACATTGACGAAAGGCACCGGCACCGGTGGGACCAAGGGCTGGTTTTAGAGGGCTGGTGTTAGAGGGTGTGTTAGGAATTGTTAGGAATAGACCACACCGGGGAAGGCGATGGGATGATTGGGGAAGGCGGCTGGCAACGTTTTTGTTTTCAATTTTTGGTTTCAGTTTTTGCCGTTGATTAAGGTCGTGTTCGGAAAATTATTGAGAAATAATATTTATAGTGGCAGAAAAACTTAAACTTAAGCGAACATGCTTGTGTTTGCAATTTGTTGTCTCACAGGTACGAGGTGAATCCCGATTTGGTCCCTAAGCTGGAGGAGGCGGGACTGCACTTTGTGGGGCGTGATGAGACGGGCGAGCGCATGGAGATTCTGGAGCTGGCGGATAACCCCGCGGACCACCCCTACTTCGTGGCGGCTCAGGTCCGTGCGTGTGTGTGTGCTTGTGACTGGGGAGGGGGGAAAAGGGAGAGTGTGTGTGTGTGTATTGGTTTGGTAAGCTGTCTAGGCGGGTCTGTCTAAAGAAAGCTCTAAAAGCCTTCAGTCCTCCGCCCTCCAATGGTGTAGTTCCCGCTCTCTTGAAAGGTCATTGTTGCGTCCTAAAGCACACTCCGCAACCATGACGCCAAATGTGACGTGCTTTGTTTTGAATGCTCCCCGTCTGCCACTGTCCTTTGCTCCGTCCGCAGTTCCACCCCGAGTTCAAATCCCGGCCCGGAAATCCCTCTCCGCTTTTTCTGGGCTTCATTTTGGCGTCGGCGAAGAAGCTTGACTCGTACCTCAGGTGCGTGTGACGCACCTGGCTGCTTCAACCTCCCGGGGGAGGGAACGGAGGAGAGGTTACACAGTAGGCTTACTTAAACTTGTAGCACAGTGTTCGAGTGCGTGTTTATGTATGTGTATATATATATGTATGTATGTGTGTCTCCCTCCCTTCGGTCCTGTGGAGAGTCGCTATGTCGTATAATTATGTCGTACATATATGTCATATTGTGCAGGGGTTGGGGAGAACATTTCAAAATGCTTCTGTGCTTTGCTGATGTTTTGAAGTGTTGGATTTGGCTGTCGGGGTGGCTTCCCTTGGGTACCACCTTGGGTACATGTGTGCTTCTTCCCGCCTGCCCTCCCTGGACTCGGTTCCATTGGCTCTAGCCCTCTGCCGTTGTCGCTCGCCCGTTTCGATAACCGGGGCTCTTTTTCCACAGCCCGAACGCTCACCTAGACCTGGAACCGTGATCTTGAGAAACAACGACCCCTATGGCATTGTGGTAACTGTTATGGTATTCAAGAGTTGCGCGAGTGACGAGAAGGAGTGCGGTTGGTTACTCGCGGCTACCCGCTGTCTTCCCGCCTCCGCTGCGGCCTTACCCTCTTCCCCCCAACATACACACATACATACACACACACCCCACCACCACCACCCCACCCCACCCCCAGATCTCGTGACTTCCCTCGGAGCCCCCTCAAGGTGCCGCCTGTGAGCAGCTTGGAGACCCTCAGTGTGCTGGACAGATAGATGAGGCGGCCACCGCCGGGCTGCTGCGGGATTAGGGTTTGCCCTCCTGCCCTCCCAGGGGTTGTTAATAATCAGTTTAGGGACGGGGTTTTGTGTGGTTAGCGCACCGCGTGGGCTGTGTGCCTTGTAGGGTTTCATGGATTTGTTTGCGTGTGTTCGATGTAATCAGGGGAGAAGTCTGCAGCTGAGACGAGTGCGAGGTGTGGCCTGGACGTGGGGGCCTCCCTGCGTTGAAGGGGGGGTACTATGTGGTAGGCGAGTGGGGTCGTGTTGTTGGGGTCTAGGTGTGTCGCGTGGCGTGGCTTTGGGATGCAGTTCGCGGTGGTGGTGGTGGTGGTGACGGGGGTTGCGTATTACGGATTTTTTGAAGAGGGAGATGACAAGGGGAGTTCTTGAGTGCTTAGGGAACAACGGGCTTTGCTCTTGGTGGGCAGTGGTGACGGTGAGGGCCTTGTGCCTTACTGGCCTGTTGAGGCCTATAAGTAAATGCAGTGATGATGAAGTTAAGATATGTTTTGTTGGATTAGTGGGTAGGAGTTGGTAGCTCTGCGGTTTAGCTGTAGGTTCGGATTGGGGAGGGGAAATGTGGGCGGAAATGGCGTACGACCGGAAAGTGGGTGAATGATCCCAATTTGCATCGTACATTGCAAAGTGAGCGCAAACATGAGCTCCAAGGCCAGTGACGCCCATCGGATTGGGCGGAGGTTTGCGGGTAGATGAGGTACGGGCTTTACTGCTCTTAAGGCAGTAACGTAAGGTCCACCCCCAACGTTTTACAATTCAACGAATTTGTGTGCCTGAATATGTAACGCGTTGCTTGAGGGTTGGAAGGGTGAACTACTGAAATCAACACGCAACTTACATGATATAGCCATAACTGAAAATACCACAACACACTCAATGCAAATAACTTTTAGGGAAGAAATTGGCAGACTCCATAAAAGCTGCCTTGTGGCCTTGCTGTTGTTCAAATTCATACCCCCGATATAGTGTACATATGTGAGGTACAAGACCATATAAAACAAAGTTAAGATAGAAACAAAACGCACAATCTTTATTGTTTGCAGGGTCTAGTTTACTGTTACAACTGAACACAGACAACTGCCGAAATTGTGAGTCGATGCAACGGACAACAACGGTCTATCCACCAACCGGTACCCGTCCTGTCCAGTGTCCCCCACCAGCATGTCGTTTCCCCACTGTCCAAAGATCCTAACTCTGCTGACCTGCGGTGACCCGAAAAGTTGTTACCTCGAACTACCAACACTGCTAACTCTTCGCAACGCAGTCACAACACACAGCACCAATAGCACTTTTAGCTGAGGTGCGGGGAATCACAGCCCAAGCCAGCCGACGCAGCAAATGCCAGCTGTCAGCCATCCGTCTTGTGTAAACCTCACTCTCGCTTGTCCACCACTCAGCTACGCTACGTCCCTTCTCTCCTCTTTCTAGCTCGACGCGCGACAGGAGGGCCTGGCAGAGCCGCGCTTTATCTTCACTTCTCAGCGATTTCCCCAACTTTTTCTCAACCAACTTTCCCTCTGTGCAGTTGGCCTTCCTCCACTTACAGCATCAGGTCAAGCGCCCCCAATTCTCTCAACCGTGACGCACACTCTGCCTGCCAAAACGCAAGCTAGTAGAGCTCAACTACCAAAAATTTAGGATAAAACGCCATGCAAAACGGAAAAAACTGTGAACACTCACCCGTAACACGTGCAATTCAAACACAGCAATCCAAATACGGCAATCCATTTTTTTCAAACTCGCGTTAGCGCTTCTCAGGTGCCATGGCCCAAGACAGGCCGCATTACGATAAAAACAGCAGGATATAAACACGGTGCCTCCGACTACGCGCAACTGCTGACGTGACTAGTCCTCAACTGCCGACGCAATCGCACCTAAATATTCCCAATATCTCTGCTCTTAACGCTGTAAAACCCTAGTTCGCCTGCCTGCCTCCTGGGTTTCATGTGTGGAACTGAGGGCTGCAGGCCCCTACGTGACAGCCCTAAAATGATAATGACCCGGCGATGACCTGCTAATGCACTGCCGACCTAGAGCTGCCTTCGGAACCCTGTTATCAACGGGTTTTCCTAAACCCAAGAGACCCACAGGGCCAGCCCAATCCAATAGCCGTCAGTTGGTACGCTTGATTTAGGAGCTTCTACAATCCATGTGCAACCAATCTCCGCTCAACATGTCACAGATGAAACTGCAACGACACAACTAACGGCCCGCCACCCAATTCCCTCCTTGTGACCGCAAACCTTAAGCATACCAGGTAACTAACCCCCTTAAAGCCTATCGCCGTTGCTTTTTGGCCCGCAAGTGCTGGGAGTGCTGTCGCTGTGCGAGCTGATGCTGATCGCCGCTAGCCGTCTCGGCCCATTGAACACGTTTCCGCCTTTCTCCCGCCTCCTTGAAATGCGGCTCTCGTGCGAGCTGGCCTCCGTGACGCTGCGACTGCGACTGCGGCTGTGACTGCCGCGGACGGGCTTGCCGCTGCGACCGCTTGGGCTGTTCCTTCTTCTTTATCGTTCCCTTGCCTCCATGCGGACCTGCTGACGCCTTCCGGGTTAGAGATCGCCGGCGGACCCCACCCATCCTATCCGTTCTCCCAGCCACACCTTGCACCGGCCCCTCTTCATCCTCCTCCTCGTGGTCTTCTTCATCCTCCTCCTCATCTGACATCTCACCGCTGCTCTCATCACCACCACCGCTCAGCGCACTGGAATCCCACGGAGGCAACTTGGCCCAGGGCCCGATCCGTGGCATCCGATCCCCGGGATCACCATCGCCATCGCTACTACTGCCGCCCTCCTTTTCCTCGTCGTCGTCTTCATCGTCGTCGTCTTCATCGTTCTCAACCTCCTGCCAGATCCGCCGCTGTTGTTGCCGCTCCAAGCGATCTGCCCCCCGCTTGTCCAGGCGCACCTGCTGCTTCATCCCCCCGCCAAGTTGGTTGGTGCCTCCGCTGCCGCCTCGGCCAGCCGCTGGCACGGTGGACACGGCCTTGGCGCTCGGCGCAGCTGTACAGTCCCTAAACCCTCGAAGACCCGCACCCCCTCCGCCATCCCCTGCAGAAACAACCACTTCCACAGCCTCAACGGCCCTCTTAAGACGACCTCCACCACCGTCGACACTGCCGTTAACGACTGCTGCGACCGCTACCTGCCGGCGGGAGTCCGCTGCCCTGAGCTGCAACAGCGGACCGCCAACTGGCACCGAGAAGCCCAACACCGCACCACCCTGCTGCGACTGCGGGTGCTGGTGCGGGTGCTGTACTTGGTGCTGCTGGTGTCGCTGCAGCTCGCCGGTGAACCGTGCGTGATGCGCCGAGAAAAGGGCGCTGTCCCGGAGGACGCGGCGGCGGTGACGAGGGTGGTGGAGCACTTGGGGCCACTCCAGCTCCACAACGGGGCGAAGGTCAAAGAGGCCCTATGAGGTGTCCAGGAATATTCAGGGGACGCGGGCCCCGGGGATTAGGCGGCGTGTAGCAGGGAAGACATGAATGATTACTATGGATGGCGGGAATGGTATGACGTTAAGAGACAGGACAGGACAGGGTAAGCATTAGGCATTAGCCAAAAAGCTAACTCGGAGGACTTTAGGTGAATTTGAGGTGAAGAAATTCTAGGGCGGAACAGGGAATGTCAGCTCATTTTCTTGCTTGCCAACTCACACTCGTGTGTGGAAAGTGGCACGCAAAGAAAATAGGAAACCAGCAGTGCTGAACGGACTATATGTGGGCGAAGAGGACGTGGGACCGCCGCCGCTACCGTCAACAAACTGGCGATCCATCCAATATTGTCCACCCATGTTCATCCACCCACGTTCATCCCTTCATGTTAATCCATCTGTTGCTTCCGTTAAGTCGTGATGACGACCATCAGCACTAAGTGCACGAAAACGTCAAAGCTGCAGGACAATCCATTGCAAGAAACTTCAACAACTACCGGCGAGCTGCGAACGAGGCGTCAAGTCACGCATGACATGGTTTGCAACTCCGCTTCCGCATGCAAGCGCCCTTACCGGTGCGTACGGCGCTTCGTACACCAGGACGCCGTCCTCGCGCTCTTTCGGCAGCAGCGGCAGAATGGACGTTTCGCTCACGAAGCCCTCGGGCAGCCAGCCAGGGTAGCCCCGTGGCCGCTTGCGACGCGGCTGCTCCTGCTCCTGCTGCTGCTGCCGTGACTGCAGCTTCTGCTTCTGCTGGCGCGACCGTACAGCCGCCGCGGGCGCCTCCCACAAAGGCTGTTCGCCACGTCTGGTCATGACCGCCGTGCCACTCTCGGACAGCACGGGAGCACTTCTGTCGGCTCTGCCTCGGACGCAAGCTGGCACAGCCACTACCGCTGCCACCGCAATGCCATCCTCACCAATGCATGCTGCCGTCCTGCCGCCTGCCGCTCCCGTTCCCAGCGCCCCGCCCTGCTGCTCCTGCTGCAGCGTTCTACCAGCAGACCGCTGGCCCAGTTTCGTCTTCTCCTTCTTCTTCGCCGTCAGCTCCGTACTCTCCTGCACTGGTGGCGCCAGCTCGTGGGGTCGCGGCTCATGTGCCACCTGGCCGAGAAGGACATGCAGTGCAGCGGGTTGCGGTTCCGGCTCCTGTAGTTGCACCCGCCGCCTCTTCACAGTGGACGGCGCCGCAGCGGCCTCGAAGGAGGCAGTGCCGCATGTGTTACTGTCGACGGCAGCGGCAGCTGCGTCACCTGCAGCCACCTCCGCGGCGGCGGCGGCAGCCGCTGACGTCTTGGCGGCAGAGGCCGGTGCCAGCTTCACTGCAATAGGTTTCAGCAGTGCGGCTGGCTTGGGCTGAGGTACAGCGCTAGTTGCCTTGGAAACAATCGCAGCTGGCAATGCCGCCTGCTGCTGCTCCTGCTCTTCCTCGCCGTCGTCCTCCTCGTCAGAATCAACTCCTCCCTCACTCTCATCCTCCTCGGACGAAACGCCAAACGCTGCATTCCAGCTCAGCGGGTCCTCCCCTTCCTCCTCCTCCTCGTCCTCCTCCTCCTCGTTTTCCTCCTCCTGACCACCTGCATCGACCGTTCCGCACGGCCGCTGCGATTCAAGGTCAGCCGTTGCGGACTCTGGCAACGGCGGAGCCGCCGCCGCCGCCGCCGCCACTGCCGCCGCTGGCTGTTGCTGCTTCAAAGGAGCTTCTGCCGCTGCCACTGCCTGCGGAGCCTCCGCTGCCAGTACCTGCTGCGGCGGTGCTGCCCTCCGTGCTGGTGCAGCTGTTGTCGCTGTGCCACCCTCCTTCATCTCCACAGCTGCCTCCTCACCATCCTCGCTCACCAAATTAACAATCTCTGCCTCCTTCTCAGCCACCGCCGTTGCCGCTGTGGGCGCTCCAGTCAGCCCTGCTGTCATCCCCTCTGCGGCTACCACCTCCGCGTCGCTCTCCAACTCGTCCTCGTCCGCACTCTCTTCCTCCTCCTCCTCACCCAGCGCCTCGTTGCTTCGTTCCACATCCTCATCCGTGCCTACGTCTTCCTCTGCTCCATTTGAAGCAATCATCACCACTTGCTGCGACTGTTCCTCAGTTCCACGGTCCACATTGTCAGCAGCCTCAGCGGCATCGCCTGACGAAGATGCAGGGATATCACCAGCTCCAGCGGCAACGACATCGCCAGCAACGCCGGCTGCGTCATCAGCAGCGCCAGCAACGGAGGCTGCAGTAGCCTTTCCAGGTGGGGCATTAGCATCCCTTGCGGCGATGCCAAACGCCGCAACCGCATTCTCCAGCTCGTTCAGCACCATCGCCGCCTCCGCAGCTGGCTTCTCCTTCTCCGTCACCGTGGCCAGCTCCTCTTCCTGCCCACCACTCGCTGCCTCCAGCTCCCCCGGTTGCCCTCTTGGAGCTTCGTCGTCCTCCTCTTCCTCTGACGACGACGACTGCTGCTCCTCCCCGCCGTCAACCACACCAGCATCCGTAACTGCCATGCCATCTGACGACTCCGCCACTGCTGGCGGCCCCCCGACCTCACCCGCCATGCCTTCCGTGCTGGCGTTCTCTGCCAACAAGCTTGCCGCGACGGCTTCGGTCACATCAACAGGCGCTGCTGCGGGTGCTGCCGCACACGCCTTCGGCGCGTCATCATCGCGCCCAGAGCACTGGCTGGCCCCGGCAGAGTCCGTTACCACTACCTCGGTCGCAACACCACCTTCATCTCCTCCTTCGGGTGAAGGTAGGATAGGAGGCGCGCTCGCGAACAGGTCGTCCACGTTGTTGCCGTCAGACGATGCGACAGGCTGTTGTGAGTGCGGGTGCTGCTGCTCGCCCTTCTCCACAACGAGCGCCTCCAGGATTTGGTTTCCTGGAGCTTCCTCGACCGCGGGTCCTTCCTCCAGAGCTGCGGAGGTAGGAGGGCTAACAACCGGCTGGGTGGAGCCGGCGCCATCAGACGAACGGGAGATGCCCTCCACGTCCGCCTCCGCTTGCGCCGTAGCCGCTGCAGCATTGACGTCGTCCTCGACCTGGGGCTGTGTGACCACCGCTGGCTCGCCCTCCGTGCCCGCGGCTCGCTCAGGCGCGTTGCCAGCCGCCGCCACAATAATGCCAGCATCTGCATCAACATTCGCGGCATCGACAGTCGCTGCTTCGCCAGGCCGATTTGCGTTGTCGACCCCATAAGCAGCATCAGCATCGGCAGCGGGAGCTGATGCGGCGTCTACAGCAGTTTCGGTGTCCATCACCTCATCCGCTTGATGTGACGCATCTACACCAGTTGCTGTTGCCGTAGCCGCCACCACAGCTGCAACTGTTGCAGCAGCCGCTGCCTCAATCGCGTGGCCAGCTTCTGCCGCTTTGATGGGATCACCACCAAGCCACTCGTCCCTGCGGGTGCCGGTCGCTCCATTTCCCGCATCCTCCTGCGGAACCTTAAGCCCATCGGCGGACGTGGGCCATCCTTCCTGAGCCATTTTGATGCCCATGTATACAGGCGCAGCCACAGTAGCGCCCTTCCCTGCAGGAGCAACGGCCGGAGCGTCTGCAGCAGCAGTAAGAGCCTCTGCAATGCCGCCCGCAGCGTCTTGAAAGCCACAAGGGACCGCCGGCGTCTCGTCTGCCGGGGCTGCTGCGTCAGGGGCTGCGGCTGCTGTGGTGGCTGCAGGCTCGTCACTCGAGGTCACCGCCTCTGCTCCATTCATCTCTCGGTTGCCATTATCGGCCTGCTCCTGCTCCGTGTCCGGTCCCCGCAGTTCCTCCTGCACCTCCGGTTGCTGAAGTCTCTCCATTTGAAGTTGCGTAAGCTGCGACTCCGGTTGCTGCTGCAGCAGTTGCGATTCAGGTTGCTGTTGCTGCTGGTCTGAAAGCAAGGCCTCTTGGGGCTGCTCCGGTTGTTTCTGCTCCTGTCGCTCCATCTTATACTGTTCAAGCGCCCTCGCCTCGGCTTCCGCCACCTGACGCGCCACGTGGGCTGCGGCGAAGGGTTGCGAGTTACGATGGCCGCAGACCTGCAAATGCACGCGGGAAAAGAAGGGAGGGCACGAGAGGAACGACGAGGTACGCTGTGGGAATGGCAAATGATGGCGAATGATGGGAATGGCAAATGACACGCGCGCGCCCTTGCGGCCATGAAAAGCAGACACTACCTTTAATGTGCTGCAATCCTTTCATGTCGGCACGCTCAAAGCTTTCATTTTTGGGGAGTTGGAAGCTGCGAGGACATATCCGAATAAGATTGTAACGGTTTTGTAGCGCACAGGTGGCAAAGGAATGGACGAATGGCGCTTGCAGCGCCGTTTGATATCATCTACAAAACCAAGATGGCCTGGGAGCTTGAGGCAGGGAACGTGTCAGGTTTCGTCGGGGAACGACCGGAGGAGCCGTGTATTGATCCGCGGCCATAATCTGATCCGCGGGCAAAGGTGCGACAAGTGTGCATGCGTAATTTGACGAATGTGCCATATTTCCGGCTCGCGCACCCAATGCAGGTGTCAACAGCCAATGCAGGTGTCAACCGTCAATGCAGGTGTCAACCTTCAATGCAAGTGTCAACAGTCAATGCAGGTGTCAACAGTCAATGCAGGTGTCAACAGTCAATGCAGGTGTCAACAGTCAATGCAGGTGTCAACAGTCAATGCAGGTGTCAACAGTCAATGCAGGTGTCAACAGTCAATGCAGGTGTCAACAGCCAATGCAGGTGTCAACAGTCCGTTGGCTGCATCACGGTTTTGAAACCCCTGCAATTATCGGTTTATAACCGCACATGCTACTTACACGAGCTCGCATAGTTGTTAATGATCCAACTGGCAACAAGGGAATCATTAAAAGAAGGACGACGGACAGACAGGCGGACAGACCGACCACGGCAGTTAAAAGTCCTGCCGACTGGCAAACAATGCCGTACATGGATAGGAATGCGACGGCTGAAAAGCAGTGCTCAACTTCCAAGCCCACAGGGTCCTAGTCAAGCCTACCCGGCACGCCCGCACAATCGCCACTACGTTGATGGAGCCCTTGCCTCCCCCAGAAGATGGGACATACGGCGCCGCGGAGGAAGAGGCAGCTGCGGCTGCCCTGAGCTGGTTGCGGCGGCTCAGATTCACACACTCAATGCTGCGGGCAGGCAGGCATAATAATAAACGCGCGGCGGGGTGCGCAGAAACTTACGACTTTGAATTACTGGTAGCTACTCCCTGCGGGGGGAGAGCCAGGCGGAGCTGATATGAAATATGTAAACGCGGAAACACGGCTGTCCCTATCTATTGGGGTTCCCAGACGCGAACGGCAAAGAAGGGTTAAAGACGGAGGGACAGGTGGAGGAAAGTGAGGAGCACATTAGGGTGCATGGAATGTGTCCGCGTAAGGACAGGCGTTTACCGAAAGCGCGGTGCTGTAACGGGATGGAGGGTCCAAAAATGGAGTGGAATCTGGAGACAAAACCCATCAGCCGAAAGTGCATACGTATTTCAAGCGAGAAAACCGAGATAACCTAACCCTTAAATCCGAGGCTTGGGAGGAGAACGACCCAGGTTAAAAAAGGAGAGCCAACATCGTCGTCCCTGTGGTCGTAAACAATTGAACCTCCGGCACGAAGAACCTTGACAACAAGATGTAACAGAACGAGGTTCCGGTGACCGAACCCCATGTGGAATTAAACATGATCAGGCAAGTCAGATCGGTGTTTCGGCCAACACCGCATCGGCTGGACATCGTACCTTGTACATGAGCTTGGGGACAGGAAGACCCCACAAACCTCGCAGTGCTGCAACGCTGAGCGACGTGGGACAGCTGCGCCTTGTGAACCAGCAGCCTATAGACCGGGAACGGCTCTGAATAAGAATACAACATATATGGTGCACACGGTGGAATATGGCGGCCGGTTTAGCCATCCACGCACGTCTCAGTTTAGTAATTGATTCATGGAATCAAGAAAGGGCTACGTAGCTCGGCTCCGCCAGCAATCTCACCCAACGGGCGATTGCAGGGTGGCGGAGCACGCATCGCACGCACCTTCAAAGCTTGGGAACCGAAGTAAGCAGCAGCATCCAGATAACCATCTGATGCGAGTAACTGAGAAGCTTGTGACAAATAATTAAAGCGAGCGTTCTGAGGCAAAGCTATCGCCTCCTTGCGCGTCGGCTGGCGCAAAGGTTTTGGGGGCATTCCCCGACCCGAACGATAAACCCCAAAACTTCTGTAAGCAGCAGTGTTAAGTATAGTAAACGCAATAACCGGACGGTCCTAATTTGTAAGGACGGGGGTGTCGGCCAACTGTGTACAACCGGCTACGGAAGAACTGAACCTTGAGTCGTTCCAGCGCAACCGCTTGATTCCAGGCACTATTGCTACCAAACAGAAGCTTTCATGTTTTCATGTTATTCCCATGTGAGGTATCATATGTAGAGGTTGGGCTTGACGACACTTCGGAAAGGACTTTAACAACCCAGAACGTGGCAAGCCATCAACCTGCAACATATGGATGCCTCAAGGACCGCACGGGACGGTTGTAACGTACTAAACGAGGATGACCCCGGTTCCGCAGACCAGGGTTCCCAACGAGGCAAGCACAATGCCGTCGATATTCCTAACGTTATGGGCGATCTAATCATAGCCGCAGCTGCAGATGACGACGCGGAGTTTGACGAGGACGATGAGGGCGAGTATGAGGACGAGGACGAAGCGATGGCAACATCGGACGATGAGGACTACAATCGGACGCATTTTGGCATCGTCCAGGCGCTGCCTGTTCCTGACGGTCCCCTAGACATGGACGCTGGTGAGTCCTCGGGTCGGGGGTTGTCGGGGTAAATGCCAATGGGTCGGCCCCGCCATAATTCCCGCTGCAGGCCTCCCCTGCCGCCTTCCTCACCCCCTCCACTCTCCACTCCCTGTTGCTCCACCTAGCCTTCCTTCTTCACATGCTTCCCCGCACCTTCTAAGGCCGCTTTCCTCCTATCATTTTAACCGTGAAGATGCCTGGTTGCTTGGGGCCCAGTTCAGTCGCTTTTTCGCTTCTTTGCACATCGTTCCAACCCGCAGCCAGTCCGCCTCTCCCATTCATCCAAACCCAAATCCCCCTTATTATCGCATCTCCTTACGCCGGTCTTCCGCCTCAAAGGCCCTCCACCTCAAAAAGCATCTGGCCCCGTTTCCCCTATTATCAGGGCCCCCCCAGACTGCGGAGGAGTACCTGCGGTGGGTGCGATTCGAAGCCTCTCAATGCCCGCGAATCACCCGCAAGGACATTGACCCAGCCGTACTGCAGCGCCAACAACAGCAGCAACAAGGACATGAAGGGGGAGAGGATTCGACGGCCATAGTAACGACAGGCCTTGAGAACGGCGGGTCACGCCATGCAGGCTGCTGCCCTAGCGGCGGTGCAGCCTCTTCCCTCCTGCGGAGCAGAGTTCCTCCGCCCGTCGTCAGCTCTTGTCCCGAGTGGGCTCGACCCTGCCCAAATTGGCTGGCTGCCTTCTTGCAGGTTCGGGTGGTCGTGGAAATTAATGCTAGAAGGGATTTTATCTAGGGGATATATCCGATGTTATAAAAGTAGTGGTGAAAGCGTTTTTCAAACCAAGTAAAGAATGCCCCCTTTCCTTCCTTTCTTCCTTCCTTCTTTCCTTTTTTCTGGTCGCTGGTACGGTCTTGTCAGGGTTTGATTGTTTTTGTGTCCTCCCAGCCTCAACGGGGGGCTCCGTTGGCCGCCACTCTTGACACCCCCGCCCGCAAAAACAGACACGGCAGGGCCCCTCCCCCCGGTGTCAGTTCTACGTCTGGTACACTCTTGCCCTGGCAGCAGCGTCACTCGTTCGTGGTTCGTCTTTCCCCCCGTTTCCTGGAGTATACATCTACCTCCGATGTCATCAGTTTCACTCGTCTGTGGTTCGTCTACCCCCCCCCCCCCCGAATACACACATACACACAGTTACTGGTGTGCCATCTTCGTGCTAGTGCCATCCCGCAGCAGAACTCATGAAAACACACACACACACACGCGCGCGCGCGCACTCTCTCCCCCTCCTCGCCCGCACCCGCACCCACACAGGACTTCAGTCGGCTGCGGCGGGCGCTCAGCACCATGCAGCGGCAACACGTTAAAGGTGTGTAGGGACCGGGTTGGGGTATGCGAGTGTGGGTGTGTATGTGTATGTGTATGTGTGTTGTACGGCAAGGTGTACGGATCGGGGGGGAGTTGGTTGGGTAAGGTTGCGGATTGGGGTATGGATGCCGGTGGTATTCGCTGGCGTTGGGGTTTGAGAATTGGAAATACAACTGCTCGCGGACTGCGGCGGGAGGAGCCCTGCTTTGTTCTGTTTGTCTAGTTTTTGAAACGTAATTAATTTACCTCGTTTTTGTTTTGCCTTTGGAATAGCCTGATGGAGAGCACATGGGTTGCCACAAGATAACGAGCAATCCTTAGCCCGGTTGGGTAGTTCGGTTTTCGGTTGATCGGTTCGTTGGTTTCTTAGAGGGTTACGGTTAATTTGAAGCTCATTCAGGGAAGCATCGCAGTCGTGTGTGTTTGGGTTTACTTGCGGCCCGTGCGTCCCAAGGTCCCCACCGATGAATGGCTCGCGGCAACGGGGGCATCATCTAATCGTTCTAACCACCACCTAACCACCCTAACTACCACAACCACTCCTGGGTCCCCCTCGTCCCGCGCTGTCCCAGAGCTGTCCTCCACTCGGCTGCCCTCCCTGGAGAACACCGCCGCCTGGGACCGGTTGTGCTTTGAGCAGTGGCAACCGCTCGAACATCAAGAACAACAACAAGGGCAGCAAGAGCAGCAGCAGCAACTTGATCACCAGCAACAGCAGCAGCAGCAGCAACTTGAAAACCAGCAGCAGGCATGCTGCGAGTCCGTGGTGACGGGTGACAAAAGCGATAACGGTGCCGAAAGCCCACCGCCACCACCGCCACCACCCTCCCTGCCGCACGAACAGCAGCAAGGGCAGCAGCAGCAGACACAGCGACATGGGGGGGTTGTAGGAGGGGGTGGGGGTGGGGGTGGGAGTTCAGGTTTGGTGGTGGAGACCGACCGGCTGTGTGGCCCTGTGGTGCGCACGGTGCTGGCACTGGATCAGGTGAATTAAGGGGGGGGAAACTGAGGCTGCAGATTGATACGTGCGTGTGTGCATGTGGCGGTACGTACCTGTGTATATATGTGTATGTATGTATGTATGTGTATGTGGGAACTCGAGTCCTCAGTCGCGAGATGCCGAGTGGAGGTGGTGGCAAGGCGCAGATGGAGATGTGTGCGGGAGGGGGGAAGGAGGTGGGCAAGGTGCTGCCGGGGGGGGGGGGCGGGGAAATACACACATGCATATCTACACCTTGGCATACTCATCACTTTTCGTGTGGGCTGCTCTTCTTCTTTTTTTTCTTCTTCTTTTTCTCCTTTACCCCGGGTTCCTTCACTGCTTCTGGATCCCATATCCGGGTGGCATTTGCATGTCATGTACACCCCGGGGGGCCCCCCGCCGCTGGTCCGTATCTCTCCGAACCTCTTCGGCCCTTCAGGCCCTCCTTACCACGAAACACCGCCGCCACCATCACCGCTGCCATCACCTGCTGCTTTCCGCAACTGCCCTAACTAACAACTACTTACCTACCTCACTCGCCAATACGCCACACGATGGCGTACAAACCCTACGTGCAATCGCGCTAAGCCCGTACACACACGTACGGCCCGCTTTGGTCGTCGGGTTTGGAACCGTTGCTCTTTGCAAAACATGTGACTCCGCACACAATCCGCACACCACCTATACACCCACTATGTACCCACTATAGACACCCACTATACACCCGCACCAATCCACACACCGGACCGCCGCCGCAGGTTTCCGTGGGCAGTCTCATTCAGCGCCACGTGGGCCAGCTCAGCACCCAACCGTGCCTGTCGTACATCAGGTCGCAGTGGCTCTTTGCGCTGGCTGCCGTACTGGAGCGTCCCGTACCTCCTGACGTGGCAGCTGCCCTGCGGGAGCTGGTGGGTGCCGGGTATGGGTGCGGAGTATGTCGGGGAGGTGATAGGAGGGAGGGAGGCGGGAGGGGGGGGGGTACGACGGAAGCTAGCTAGACCTACGATCTGCAGCATCGGTCTACACAAGGCATCATGTGACGTTGGTTGCCGTCTCCCACCTCCTCCCCACCGATCTTGGGTTTTAGGGCGTATAGGCAGTTGGTGCTTTGGCTTTTGCACCACTTGACATTACATTCCCACCATTTCGACCGCGTTCACCATCATCACCACCATCGTACCCTGCCGTCATCTCCACCCCCACCCCGCCTTTATTGTTCACCCGTCGATAGGTTCGGCGGTGCTCTGCCTGGAGGGCCACCCTGGAGCATCCCGATGACCCGGTGCTGCCGCGATTAAACGTTTTGTTGGCGGTTGCCGGCGGTTATTTCGGGCAGGACGAGCATCTCAGCGCGGCGGCAGCAGCGGCTAGTTTGGGAGACCTGATTTAGGTGGTTAGGTAGTTAGCTAGAGGCGGCGGAGGAAAGGGGGAAGGACGTGGGGAGACCGGCAGACAGACGGACAGACGAACAGGAGACCTGAAGAGGGCCCATTGGCAAGGAAAGCCCGGGCGGGGTGGGGTCGGGTGGAAGGGGGTCAGGTACATCAGTGCACGCAAGTACAACACACGCCCAGTTTTACTAGGTGCGCACATACAGACATGCATACATACAGACATACATATGTATATACACGTACGCGCGTGCACGTGCTGGTGAAAGAGGAGATGGGAGGAGGGGGAGCAGGCAGGGGAAGTGAGGGGTGGGGGGTGGGAATTATTCGCCATTGATGTTGAAGATTGAAGATATATACCAAACTACATAACTCCTCACATCGTTGAAGAGATGACGACCCACGATGCGGAGTGGAGGTAAAGATGAGATGTGTTTAAGGGGAGCTGAGTCCCTTCAGACTTCGTCCCAAACTGGTCGTACTGTACGGACGCAGTGGCGGTCAGATCAGTCCAGGGCTTATTGGATGGCTGCCGTGGATGTGGACCTGTCCAGGGAAACCTGTACGGCTACTGTGGTTCGCACCTGTACAGTGGGTGGGAGCTGGTAAGAGGTCAAGACTGGCTCATGAAGTCCAGTGGCCAAGTGGCTCAAGGTAGCGCCCGAAAGTGATGAATATTTTAGTGTGGCATCCGCTGGCGTGGGTTGGCTTGCTGTTGCTGAATGGTAGCGTTACTTTCCATGGATTTGGTAAGGGAGGGTCTTGAACGTTCGGCACCTACACGCACTCCTCCACACTAGCTACAAGTTACAAGTTCCGCACACAAGTGCGGGTGTGTCCGTAAAAGCCGGGGGGGCCATGGACTAGCAGGGTATAATAGCGAGAATTGAGGAGTGCAGCAAGCCTTCGGAGCCTGCAATAACAAAGACTAAGCTTTACATAGCTCCCTTCCTCACAGCTGTGAGAGGTGATCGCATGGACAGACAATGAAAGCATATGGATGGGCAGGCGACGGCGGACGCATTTCCAAGGCAACAAGTAACACGTCCAGTTGCGGTCATGTGTGGCCTGGAAAATGGTGCAATTGATTGGTAGGCATGCAAGATGATAATTTTAAGATGCAAAATCACGCCGAAACTTTCAGCGGTTCAACAGCAAAATGCTCCTTATTTCTGCCTGGCATACGTAAACAACCGCGCTGAACCTAACTGACGACTTGTGCACAAGACATGTGGAAAATTAACTAACAGCATCGTGCCGCACTTCACTTATACTTATTTGACCTATCCACACTAAATAAATACCGCCGTATTAAAGAGGGAGGGAGGGAGCGTCTACGAATTCCAAACAGGCAATTGTGCTTTGAAGGAGGCGTTGTTGCCCGTCATGCCCGGGTTGGCGGGAAAGTCATTAGATAAGAGCGTGTGTGATGTTGCTGTCCATGGCTAATGGTGCGGGTGTGCGGGGCTACGGGAGAGAAGGGAGATGGCAAGGGATGGATTTCTTGGTGGTGTAAGGCAGTCTACGGATCCAGGGATATATGTAAATTCTGATACGTATTGACACCGAAAAGGCACGGCGACGGCATGATCTAGAACTCCGAACACAGGAACAACAAAGTGGCAAAGACATCATCCCACAGCGTGGCGTTAGCGGGATGCCGCCGAGCAGAAAGACTCGCAGGTGTCACCGCACTGTAAATGGGGGCGGGCGCGATCGACATGCAAGCCTCCTGCAAGATTTGTTTTGGAAATGAAAACAATAGTTCCATATGTAGCGACCAATTATGCACAGAGCAGACGCAAATCCCAAACTAGTCTTATATCGTTGGAAAAAGGACAAGTTCAAACCTAGGCGACTAGGGCTGCGGGACGTGGTTATCCATTCAGTAAATTATGAGTTATCGCAAGCTAGGCCGGATACGGTGCGGAATAGCCAGGCCGCGTAGCTTTAACGAAATTGGGGTAATTGCCCTGAGAGGAACGTTACGTACGGGCAACGAAAGCGAAGCCTGCTGAAACGTTTCCTCCGTGCCCGCCAGATACCGGAATCGTGTTCGAAGGGAACGGAACCAAGAACTAATCCGCGGTATGTGAGAGCCGCGGCTCCATACATGATGTCATCTTCTTGAAAAGTACCCTGTACGGCACGGGCAGGTTCATCCACGTTACGTTTCGAAGGATGTTCGTCCGTTGACGGAGGGAAGCTACGGGGAACGCCTGTGACGGGATATAAAACAGGGTCGCCACAACTCCCTTTTTTTGAAATATCATGCTCGGATCAGGCTCAAAGTACGCTGAATAAGCTACGCACATTGAGCCGAGCGAGTAATATAATGAGTCAGCCGTAAACGAGGTAGTAATGAACGTTATATGCTGTCACATTGTACTTTGACAACATTTGAATTATTGTCTTTGGCATTTATCATTAGGCGAAGGCCTGTGTCGCAGATCCCAAGGCGCCATCGCCAATCAAGGCAGGAATCGGACGATACCATATCAGATTTTTTGTTACTGCAAAATGATGTATCCTTACGTCCTGCTTTTCGCTTTGTTATCGTTGGCGGCGGTCGAAGGTGCGTTATGCCGTAATGGACTCTGTAAAGCGGTAACTTTTCCATACCTGTTCGCAGCTAGACGTTCATCAAAGTTGATGATTAAGCTGTGCCAACTCGAAGACGTTTTTAGCAAAGTGATGCCAGAAAGCTTGCTGACGGTGGCCTTGCCTTCAAGCCAACATGCAGTTCACTTTACTTTTCAACATAACTGGGCCACCTTACCTTCCAAATCCATCCCTGTGCTTCTATTCTCTTAACCTTCTTTTGCAGGGGCCACCCTTCTTCCAGGCAAGCCGAATAGGGGCCCCCCGCCGCCCTCCCCAGACGTCGCACCGGGGGAAACCATTGACCTCGAGGGCCAGCTCACTTTGGTTAATACCCACGACGGCCGGGAACGATATGCTTTGATGGATTATAACGGAGTGTTGACCCCCTTCAGCGCGGATTTCGTGTTACCGGCGGCCGACAAGGATAACAATCGCATAGAAACCGGTGCAGTTGTCGGAATGGTAAGTTGGTTCTGTCGCCAGCTGGGGGAAGGAAAACATGCTTCGCCAGGTGCTCTGCCATTTTATGATCACTCCCAGCAGGTTACGTCGCGTACATGGCATGCCGGAAAGCGTATATGTCTAGAGTATCACCTAAAATGCTAAGGCGTGCATCGCATGCATGCATGCATACGCTCCTCTTGCAAAATCATCTCTCCAGCAGCACCGAGTGATCCCAGGCTCTGACTGCATGAGGGGCGCACGCGGTCGCTTTTGTTGAGCTCTTCTCCAAGCAAGAGCATCTGCTATCCTAATGTCCAGTGTGCAAGCAGCACCACGAACAGTAGGTGCACGGATCCACCCGCGATAATCCAGCCTTGTTCCCGCTCCGTAGCATCTAACATGCACTTGTATGTGGCTTGAGACTCAGCTGTCAGCTGTTGTTCGTTCGTTCGTTCGTTCGTTGATTCTACAGTAATATCGCACATGCTCATCCCGAGCTGTCCCCCGCAGCTGACGTACTGACCCGCGTGGCTTCCTCACTCCGCATCCCAAACCTATCCCCTCTCTTAGCAATGTGTGGTCGGGCCGCCCAAGTACTGCGGCTGTGGAGATGTAGGCGCTAACTGCACGTGCCCAGACGACGCGAGCACAACGGCGTGCGTGTCCGCGCCCCAAGCTGCAATCAGCCTGTTGATGTCGGCGTCTCAAGCCTTGGCTTTCGGTCCATCGTCAACTGGCAGCCAGCAGAAGTTGCTGGTCATGATCTTGGATTACAGTGCTTGTGGCTTAGCACCATCGCTAACGGAAAGTCAGGTCCGCAAGATCTTCCTCGGTCCGGACGAGGACGGTCTTGGCGGTGTCGCGAAAAAGTACTCCCAGTGCTCGTACTACAAGTTTGGCCTGAACGTAACTGCCTTCACAGCGGTTCGCATCAGCCTCAACTGCTCTTCGACCGTTATCGACTCCTGCAGTTGGTGGACCATTTCCCAACGAGCCGATGACGCGGCTAAGTTGAAGCTCGGTCTCACGGCCTTTGCCACCTTCACACACTTCACATACGTACTGCCCCCGGGTTTGCAACGTTCATGCCCCTGGGCGGGCCTGGCGTTATTACCTGGTCGTCAAACGTGGCTGCAGAGCAGCAGCTATGGAATACAACGCTGGGCGACTGTGATGCAAGAGGCCATCCATAACTACGGTGAGGATGGAGCAAGCAAGACGCGCCGCATGGCGCTGTAGCTGCCGTGCTTGCGAATGGCACCATTCGTAATGGTTTTCGTGCTCTGACTTGTGTTTCTCCTCTATGTTTCAATCCTTCAATAAGGTCTCTGGCACTCCTGGCGCAACGGCTGGGAGTACGAGGATTACTCGACAGCCATGGGCCGCGGTGATGCCTGCCCCAATGCTGCGGAGACCTCCCGCCTGGGCTGGGCCACACCCGCGGACGGAGGTGACGCCATTAACTCCGGCGTCTTGGCGGATGTCGGCACGGTCCGCAGCTGGCCTCTGCCGGCCACCTACCTCACCGGCGAGGGGAACTACCTGCGTGTGCTGCCTGACTGGCTGCCCACCGATACCGGGGCTAAGAACCTGTACATTGATCTCCGCGTCAACAAGGAGGGAGATGCCGCGCTTGGCAGTGACTACGCCAACAAAGTCCACGTCCACGAGGTCAATGCAACTATGGTGAGCAGGTCCCAAGAACTTTGGTGGGCGGCAGAGGCGTCGCCCCAGGGCTGCAGGACGCTAGGGAAGGAACCCGACGAGTGTGGAGGGTGGACTCAGGGCTAGTGGCGCCATGCATATGCATGCATCTTCAATCCTGCCGCTTGCTGTATGCAATACCTGTCGTACAGTACGGCACACGTCATTCGCCTGTAGATACGCGCTACAGCATCATGAGAGGCCGTCTCCGCGGCCAGCTAGTACTACACGTGCCCGGCCCCACAACCCCAATGGCCGTCTTCAGACGCAGTTGCAGTGTTGGGACTCGGGATGACTACTGGGTCGAAGAAGCACGCGCATGCATGCGGGTTTGCCCGTGGGCTTTCTTGGAGGGGATGAGGCTGAAGGGCGGCGCTTGACACAGCCTCTGATGCGCTCACTCACTCACTCACTTGTCGAATGATTGCTGGCCGGTTGTACTGCACTGCCAATGCACTGCATGCACCTGCAGGGCGCCTCATTACGATAGCTAAGTTTGAATCCATAATAGTTCACATTAATTCAAATCTGGCCACCGTTGCTGCCTGCTGATGTTCCCCACCCGAACCTCCCCTGCTCACTCAGGACAACGGCTACCCAAGTTCTTACACCTACAGTGACCGTCGCATCGAGTTCATTGGCGGCGTTGATCCCTCCTCCCGCGCCGTGTACTCCGCCTACAAACTCGTCATCTACGCGAGTCCTATATCTGCTAGTGACACCATCATGGTTTACCTGTGCCGGTACGACACCGTAGACGGCCAATGCCCCTCCCTGGATGACGCGTTGGGGGCGTCGTCCTCACCGCCGTCCAGCCCGCAGACGCCGTCCAGCCCGCAGCCTCCGCCTCCCAAGTCACCGCCCCCCAAGCCACCGCCACCAACGAAACCACCGCCCAAGTCGCCCCCACCCTCCAGGATGCCACCTCCCTGGAGGTCTCCGCCGCCTCCCCGGACGTCTCCACCGCCTCCCTGGAGGTCTCCGCCGCATCGCAGGCGGCAGCCGCCGCCACGCAAGGTGAGTGCTTGCATGCTTCGGCTTGACGACCAGCTTCAGGGAGTCCGGTAAATCAGCAGTAGCAGCAGCAGCAGTAGCAGTGGCAGCAGTAGCACAGCAGTAGCAGCAGCGGCAGCAGTAGCAGCAGCAGTAGCAGTAGCACTAGTAGCAGCGGTAGCAGTAGCAGCAGCAGCAAGGTGCTAAGGGGTCATCCAGGTCTGTTGGAGCTGTCAGTCGATTGGTCCACCACAGGATGCCGGCGCCTTCAATGGAGATTGGGGGGGATTCATCGTCCTGTCCAAACATATCTGAGAAGCCAGCCCGATATCATGCTGCACACCCCTGACCCGATATCATGCTGCACACCCCTGACCCGAACTACGAACCCGAATGAACGAAGGTGTCTATAGATGTGAGTTTGATGTGTTTTTGGAGCTGTACTCGCCCTCCCTTTTTGTCTCCCTGCTGTGGAGCCGCGATGCCACGCACATCTAGTAGCAATACACCCCAATTGTGTGTACGAGTTCTACAAGATGGCTCAGCAAGCGGGATCAGATGCGATGCACACCTGCCGGTCGGCTGCTGCCGGCCGCTGCCCCCTCAATTCCACTCACCCAAATATACCAATCGCACGAATATCCATCGCACGAATATCCATCGCAAAAATATGAATCGCGTATGAATGCTATCCGCATAATATGTATGTTGTCCTTTCGGCTCTGCATGCAGATTAGGGAATGAGCGGCAACCCTCACAGCCCCCAGCCTACCCAGTCTGCCGTACGCACATCCTTTGTCGATACTACAATCAAATGACGCGACACCACGTGCGTTTCACAGAAGTTGCAGTCCTCTCCAGCTTAGTGAGCTGTTGTACATACGTACGACACTCTGCCGGCAGCTTAGAAGTTAAGACATATAGCTATATATCAGCAAGGGTCCACCTGCATACTGTTGCATCACGACTACAGAAAAGTACCAATCGATGGGTGTCAGACCCCGTGATGCGCCGAGGACACAAAACCTAATTACATTTGCATGGCTTCGCAGCGTCACACCATACACCGCCGCCTTGTGGAATGGACTTGTAATGCCGTACTCCTAGTGGCGGGTGGCATGCAGAACCATTAGGCAGTTGTATGTGGCTCTAGGAGCTAACTTAGCTCCTAGATCAACGCAATATATTGAATATGCGTTGGCGACCAGCGGCTAACAAGTGGAGTTCCACCTAGATCGCCGCAGGGGTGACGATGCTTTATTTGGCCGCAATGCAGCTTTATTTCCGTGCGTAGGCTGATCTATCTATCTATCTATCTATCTATCTATCTATCTGCTGTTCATTCAGAAGTTTGTGTTCGGGTGGATCTGATTGCGATAACTCCATCTGTAGCACTTTTTGTCGTCTAAAGGTCGTGTCGTCACATGTTAGGTAGGGACCGTCCCTGTCTTATCATACAAGGACACGGTCCATTGCCGAAAAGGTTTTAATTAAAAATTACAGGCGACTTGGAGGCGCATTGCTACACGCGTTCGTTCTATTCCTGCTGCCAAGGGTTTCAGCTGGTGTCTTTGTATGTATAATAATTCAGGAAGCTTATTACTGCGAATACTAGTCGAAATCTGCACATGCATGTGCGCGTATGTTACACCTTGGGTTGTGTGATTACTACTCCTTTGCAAAGGTGTAGCGGGTCCATGCGAGCATATATATGTAATGGCCTTAAAAACACTGTTAGCTAGTTTCCGCTTGCTTTGCTTGCGCTCTGGTTGAGGCATGCGAGAATGCTGGAGTGATAATTCATCTATAAAGTATTCGTCTTATCAGTTAACAGGTGTGCCGGTGGCTGCCGGCTGCGAGACGCCGGTGACGGCAGGTGATGACGCGATGTGCAGTGCGATCGTCTGCTGGTGAGTCTATGACACTGCAGCAGTGCGTACTGCTAGCAGTACTTACTACTAGTAGTAGTAGGATATGAACAGCGGGAAGATGAGGCTGGGGTCCTGGCGCAAGCTACCAGCGCAACGGCATTTAAATATCGCGACAAGGGGGTCCTTTTATATCTAAGCGTCAGTCCCTCAGTATCTAAGTGAAGTTGAGGGGGGGGTCTCTGGCCAGCTGGATGAGAAAAGACGGCAGCTAGATGAGGCGCCCGGCCGCCTTCGGGACAGCTAGATGAGGCTCGGCTCTGGCTGCCAGATGAGGGTTCGCGGGGTCCGAAATTTCACCTGGATGAATGTATGGCATATCCCGATATGCAATTTGGGTGCTCTACATTTATCTAGTTACGCTTCCTTATGTACTGAGATGCGCGCGGGGCTTCTCGCAAAAAACGCTTACAGAGTCTCATACTCGCCCATGCTTCGGTGTTAATGGTATCAGTATAATACCAATCGCTATGCATGGGCCGACCCGCCCAAACGAACGCCACGCCGCCGCTGGTGGCACCGGCGGAAACGCCCCTAAGCGCCAGGAAGCGCCCCATCTTTTTTTGAGAGGTTATAAGGTGGACCGCTGGCCCAGGCTTCACATCGGTTCGGCAGGTTATCAGTTCGATGCAAGGTGTCGTACTTAGCCACTGACTACCACAAAAAAATGTTTCCACGATGTGTGCATTGCTTACAGACAAATGTCTAGGTAACTGTATGGTACAGGTTTTTGACAAATTGTGTCGGTATCTTGGGCTAAACAACAACAGTTTCGTCATCCATACGAGGCATACACCAGGACGTCGCATGTCTCGCAAAGCTGGCTCCAGTTCGAAGCCGGTTTCCCGTGGCCACTGCAATGAAGGATCGCGTACGAAACCTGATTCACACCCAACAGCATTCCATCACGGCAAACTGTGGACCACCGCGCGGATTTCTGATCGGGTGCACCAGTGGTGCACTCCCGCGGTAACATAGGCTACCGACCCTGTCGGCACACGAGTGGCCGCATACATGATATAGCATCGACCCGGATATTCTTCACACAAGCCTACGTACCATGTCGTCCAGTTCCGCTTGACCGCCGTCGCCCATGGTGATGTCCGGCGTCGTCATCTGTGATATTGCGCAAAGAGACTCGATGATTTCGATGCTTCCTTCAATTGAGAACAATCTACAGCAAGCAATCCTGTCATCTCAGTGCTATTTCCGCCTTTTCTGATTGCTGCTTACGCCCACGAACGAAAGCCTAACGTCCTTTCGCGAATGACAAGCTGAAAAGTGAGCCCCGCAATAGCTAGTGTAACAGATTGAGACCCTGATTGTTATACGCTTGTTCGTGCTCACGATGGGCCGGGGTGTAATGCTGTTCGTCTGTCTATCTAAAAAGCTGTACGGCAATGATGATGAACGGTGCAAGTCGGTGCTGCGATTGCACTACCGCGGCGGAGGGCGGCGCCGGCAAGCTATCGACCTCGGTTGCTGGATGTGAGCGGAAGTGATGATTGTGGATGTATGAGTATGAGTGACCTGCGGTCAACGCCAGGTGGCCCAAGGTACGGCCGGTGTACCTGTCGGTGGGCGAACATAAATATTAACATTTTTAAGCCTGAAAAGCGCTCCCGTCGCCATCAGTTGATTGTCATGTCCATGCGTCCAGCAGGCTTTCACAAAATGTATCTGGATGCCAGTCAACTTACAACCAAATGAATATAGGAGGACATGAAACGGTATTTAAATACATGTTTCTTTTCAGTCAGATGCGCGCGCGGGGCCCCTCTCCTGGCAGCTAGATGAGGCGTCGGGACAGCTAGATGAGGCTGACGGGGGTTGTCAAGCGGTCAAGATGAGGCTCGGGGCTCAGCTAGATGAGACAAGGGGGGGTCCCCGCGATATCTAGATACCATGTGAACTTAGTTAGATATTGTTTCCTCATACTTAAATGAGCGCGGAAGGCAGATGCCGGCCAGGACCCCACCCTCAGATGACAGATGACGAACCCTGGGTGATACCTCTCCGTAGTAGTGCAGGCTGCGTATGTGTACAAGTAATACAACTGCTACCCATGGCTATCCATGCATGGCTCACCAGAGCATGCGTCATAGGCAGGATTGCATTTATATACATCTTATTACACGTGGGGCCCTAATTCATCTCATCTCATCTTCTTCATCATCTATGGTTGTTACAGTGGGCTCAAGACTCGTGAAGAGTAGAGCCAGCGGGCCAGCTGCACATCATGTGCTCCCGGTCTGAGGGATCCATCCCCCACCCCACCCCCACCCTCCACACACACGCTGCCGGTGCATGTTGTGTGCCTTGCACCCCAAGCAACGCAAGTTTAGATTGGCGCTGTTCCCACACGCGGATATGCGTTGCAGCCCTACATCATTACTTATTGCGACTGTTGTGTGCTTTAAGCGTCTCTCAAGGACTTGTTTTTGCTGCTGCTGGCCAAAAATGCAAGAATGGCGAGCAGCTGCTCCATCAGCGACATGCTGCGGGCTGCTGGATGAACGCGCCTCACCGGTGTGTGCACACATACACGCACACGCCAGGATATGTAGTGCGACTGGATTTCCATGAACCTCAGCTCTCGCAGATTGCCTCATGCCGGCCGTGAGCCCCATGCAGCGGGACGGGTATCTGGGCATGCCGACAGTTACTAGGATAACAGTAAGTTGATGCGGATGATATTGATAATACGCCGCAGCTTGAACCAAGAGGTGTGTTGAGGGGCCGGGGTGGAGAGGTGGTTACAACGGGTTGTCCGCCAGCATGACCAGCACCACTGCTACCAGCACCAGCACTACCAGCACCAGCACCACCAGCACCAGCACTACCAGCACCAGCACCACCACTACCAGCACCACCACTACCAGCACCACCACTACCAGCACCAGCACTACCAGCACCAGCACCACCACTACCAGCACCAGCACTACCAGCACCAGCACTACCAGCACCACCACTACCACCACCATGGACATGCCCATGTAAATGCAGCTGTGGACTGTGTTCATCAAAGGCTTGATGCATATACCCCTAATCAACAAGCTAGCTGTCCGTCCGCGCTGTGGGGCAGAAGGGCATCATCTCCCTGCTCACCAGCGTTTGGGCATATATGCCCTCAGATGCGCTCATTTGTCTGTGTCTGTTAATAGATAGTAGCAGACTAGTCGTGTCACGAGCTGTAGTAGCTGCCGTACTGTACGGCACTGACATATCGTCTATAAACACGCGCTACGGCGCTCTGCCAGCCAGCATTTTGATGGGCCCTTTCAGTGGCCAGCTGCTACACGAACGCCACTATCAATGTTGTACTCTGCCCCGCCGATGCAGAACGAAGGGTTTTGGGGTTTCGCGACCCCCTTGCGAATTCCATAGGTGACTGACTGACTTGGTGACTTTCTGGGAGGATTACCAAATTAGCTTTTCATGAACGCGTCAGTGCGCGTGCAGTTATGTACGCCATTCCGGCGCACTGACAGCAGAATGCAGCCCTGTCTATGCTCCGATTCGCACAGTGAGGTGAATTGATGTCTGCGAAATCCTGGGAAATGGACGATGCTGGGGATGGAGTAGCGCCTCCCATTCTGGGTAAAGTCACAGGACGTGCGAGTGATGGGGGAAGGGATGACGATAACGGGAGCGAAGGAGGGGCAGGGAAGGGAACCTGGGTGCAACATCCGTCCGCGGAAAGATAAATCTGGCCACGCAGACGTACTTACGAGGACGTCCTTGGTTCTGGAGCCATCCAGTGGCCGGTTGGCTCCTGTTTGGCCACCGATGCGTCTGTTTGTCTGTATGTATGATCTTGTTACAGGGTGGTATGCCTTCACCAGCGGCCCCCTTTCCCGAGGCAGTTCCCTGCTCTCCCCTGCGAGAGGGGCACCCTAATCCGTTATCCCATCCGACTTCAGAATGTATTCGTTGGGTTCAGCAATTCACCACCAGCATCTAATCATAACTAGCGGATCAATGGCGCCACAACTTATTAACTGGTCAGCTCGCAAGTTGATATAATCACGTCCTACACCGTCCACAAGATGGTGGGCCACCTTCCAATTCAACACCCCTCACACACCGAGAGGATGGCTGGCGGATTTGAACCCGGAACCTCCGGGAACAGAAGTCAGGCCTTAACTTCTGCCAGCCACCTGCCTATATGATGTGTGAAACAGGGGAGTATATCTTCGCCCGTGGCAGCTACCCTGCGAAACCCTGTCTTCCCCGATATTGCGGAGCACACTCATCTAGTTACCCTGGTCAACTTCTCAGCGGATCGCTCAGGTTCCGCACCCACCACCAGCATCCAACCGGAATCTGCCGAATTGACAGCGGCCCAACCCCGTTCCTTGTCGGCTCGCTGGTGAACTTTATCCCAGGTCATCACCGTCTATCTACTATAGGGGTACAATGCCATCCACCATCGGAATGACTTTTGTCCCTAACGTATCGATCCCGGGATCTCCCGGGGGCAATGGTCGCTCCTTACCAGTGGTGCCAAATCCTTATACGTATATTGTATGTATGTTGTATGTATGTCATATATGTGTGTACAGATTTGTGTACACATGCCTTGTATGTATGTGTATGTGTGTACTTTTCGGAGGTTATCGTAGCACTACGGGCCGTGCTGGCATTAGTGGACGTTTTTGGGCGGGGCCCCAGCGCGAAGCGCCCAGGGGGGCCCCGACCTGTAGGATTGCCCATGTCCGTCTGTGTGTGTGTGCGTGTGTAACGGACTCAAACATAATATCTCGCCCGGCTGAAACGCGTTATAGGTACTATATATCATTCTCTATCGCAAGGTATCTCGCCTGTAGCCAACAAAAATTGTATGAGCACAAACAAGTTTGGCTGCCTACATTGACCGAGGCCAAAGCCACATCAACGCATCTCGGGCTAAATTTAATCTCAAGAGGTACCGCGAATCTCATATTTGATTTCCGAGATGACAGCGTATGATAACTTGAACACCCAGCTTGTGTTACCATTTGCCCGCACGGGCATTCCGACTTGCCACCGGCAGGCCGACAAATTTGCTTACATTTCTCTATGAAATACGCAAGCTGCTCATTTGTACATTTACTTTAGCCAATGCTCGGGGCCTCCGGAGACTTGCGGTGTGCCCCGTTGAAGCCCGCGGCTGTGGGGCGGATTGCTGAGGCCGCTGGCGCTTCGGGGATAAACATCACAGACAGAACCGAACTTCACCCAGCTTGCGTTACCAATTTGCCCGCATGGGCATTCCGACTTGCCGTCTGCCGCACTGTCCATGCGGCATGCACCCGGGATGGATGCGATTCGCGCCGAGCCCGCAGGCGGTGCTGACGATTCCGCCGGTGCAAGCTTAACTCCCACACCATCAGTACTGCTGCAACAAAGCACATCTCCCACCGCGTTGACACTACCCATCAATTGTCACACGTGCCGCGCTAGCTACCGGCCTGTACGGATGCAGGGGGGCCAGCCCTTTTTCCGGCTTCAAGGAAGCCGACACCCGACTTGTCGTCTTCAGTATTGATGAAAAGTATGTAGGCAAAGCTAGGAATAGCTGCATATTCAGGAGTTCCACAGCAACACTTTTCATTTTCACTTCGAAGCCATCCCTCCCGTTGTACACATCTGCTTATCCGTCCCGCATCAAGTACGCCAGCAGCACCATGTTGCGGGATCGTGGATGCTCTGATGGTACTACTAAGCCTGCTTCACGCAGTCGACCCGCTATGGACCACGTAACAAGCAGCACGCGGTGGTCACACCTCACACCTCGCTCGTGCATGGTTGCACACACACACACAGCCACACAAAGCGCCTGAAGACCTGCCTGCCAGGGTCCTCAGCCGTAGCCAAGCGGTCAGGCAAATGACAGCTCACTCCGCTACTTCACTTCCTGCACGCGCGCCCAGATCGCTCAATCATCGCGCCCAGATCGCTCAATCCAGCGCCCAAAGGGCGATGCGTGAACCTCACGTATAGCAGAGTGCCTTCTGACTTCTTTTTCGCGTACTTGCCCGGGATGCCCGAGAAGCTGTTATTGTTGGAAAGTAGGCGAATTAAGGCTCTCGTGAAGCTCTCCACCGTACGTGAGGTTCATCATCCTTTGAACAGTGGGGGCCCTGAGTGGGCGTCAAGAGAGGTAGTGGTGGAGGCAGATCTAGAGGTTAGCCGCCGTGTTCCAGAAAACACTTTGCTAAGGTTAAAAAACACATTATGGGTCTGCAGGCACAGCAGCAGCAGCAGTAGCAACAACAACAGCCGCAGCAGCAGCAGCAGCAGCAACAGCAGCAGCAGAACGCACGCCTCACTTCGATTCCTGCTAAGTACCGCATGATAAGCCCCTCCACACACACACACACCCCAATGACTCATGGGGGCTTCCCCCACTTTGACTGCATCACGGAGGGCGTCATCACATTGTGCAGAGATACATAGCACAATAGCCCGTTTTTATACGGGGAGGAGAATATGCACAATACGTGCACGACTGGTAGAGGTCCTTTGCCGTTCGCACAGCACATTGCAACCGACAACGCCCTGCCAGCCTAACTTTTTTATTTTTTTTCGAGCGCAAACGAAGCCAAAAGACACAGGGCAAACCACAAAAAAAAGAACGGATTACGATTCTAAAGTACGCTGCCTGCCTGTGTACAAAAAGCTCAGAACAGGCAACGAAAGAGCCTACAAATTCAGGCTCCGAGTTCATTTCGAGAGAATGTCGTAACCTGTCCTAAATTCGCCGAGATGGAGATCAAGCAGAGAGTCGTAGCAGCAGCAGCAGCAGCAGCAGCAGCAGCAGCACACCTTCCTTCTTCGCAAATTTTAACATCATGTTAAGCGCTCCTCATCGCGTTTGCCCTCGCCCTCACACCCCGCACCTGCCCTAAACACCACCTCCTCCACCTCCTCCCCAACCGCCTCCAAATCCACTAACCGCCGCCTCTCGTCCGCTGACGCATGCACGTCGTACCCTCGGCCAGCAGAACCAACGCCGTACCGCGACACGGAGTCGCCGCGCACCGCCGTCGCCTTACTGCTGTTATTTTCAACATCATCGGATCCACCGTTGCGCTCCAACCGCCAACCGTTAACCGCCTCCGGATCCCCTAATCTGCATCCCTGTCCCTCCCCCTCAATCCCAAAAGAGCCGATACGCTGGTACGGCATCCCCGCCTCGACACCATCGACATCGCCGCCGCCACCACCACGATTCCGTACACCATCGCCACTAGCGACCCGTGGGTCACTATTCCAAGGGACGTGCGGATGTTGAGGCGGCTCTGGATGTGGATGTGTTTGACCTGCACGTGCGTACAGCACCAGGCCGAGAGTTCCACAGGCGAGTGAGACCGTAAACCAGCCGGCCGTGCCGCCGAAACCCCCGAAAAACACAACACGCGCGCCGGCAGCCCATACGTCACTGGTCAGCAGCGACAAGTTGAGGACGGTTGCGCCGCCCCACATCAGCACCAGCGGCAGTAGCAAGGCAAAGGTGTACAACGCCAGGGCAAATCCCACCAGCGGCGCCACCACGACCCATGGGTCGTTCCAGTCGGCCGCCAGCCAGGCGTTGCGCTCCAGCACGATAGCCTTGCCGACGAAAAAGCGACGCCCGTGATGAGGAGCAAGCGAATGGATGCATGGGGTTCAACGGGAATTGTGGAAATCACATACGTCGCATGCATGCATGCATGTATCCATACATCCATACATACAAACATACATCCGTACAAACGAGGTACACAGTGTGACATGCATCAGAGTAACAGCAGTATGTATCTTGCATTCGGAAACCTACATCATATGCATGTAAGTTGTATGTCACCATGTCTGTGCAAGTAAGCCCACTTCACCTCACCCTTGCCGCACCCCGGTTCCCCCCAACCCCTCCCAGCCCTTCCCCCCAGCTCCCACCTGCAGACCCCCCAGGAGCGTTCCCCAACTGCCCACCAGCGCCAGAAGCTCCGAAACCGGTGTCGCCCCGAGGAGCAGCCGCTCCTGAGCCACATTGCTGCAAGCGTACAACACCGCGCCCTGCACGGGCCCGAGGGTGGGCGAGGAATGGGCGGGGGTCAGCAGGGGCAGGTCGGCGCCCTGGAGGTGCAGCTGGTCGGAGTGAGGAAGTGAGAGGAAGGTGGAGACGGAAACTGCCTCGTGACTCTCATGTCCTAGTGCTCTCATCCTCAAACCCGAAACCCTGAAACGACTTAGGATCTCGTGTATCAGGCGGAAAATGCGTAATGAGAGAGAAAACACTCCAACTCATGGCTTGGATAGATGCGCGGACAGAGAGATAGACAGACAAACGGACAAACAGACAGACACGCAAATGGGGACTGGGTGCAGGGGTAAGCGGTGTTAGCCTGAATCCTGGATCCAGTTGTTTTTCCGTGTCGTACAGGTTCCCGGGTGGGCCCCTTTCCCTGAAACCCGCCCCGCGGCGCCTGTCTCACCATCAGCACCAACGCATCGCCCAGTAGGGGTTGAGGACCCCCGGTGGTGGATGACCCGTCCGTCATTACCAGTACGGCAAGTCCGGCAATACACAGCAACGCACCCCCGTAGTGACCCCGGGTGAAGTGGGCTCGGAGCAGCAGTACGGACAACGCCATGACGGCTGGAATTGTGAAGCAGTCCAGGAGGGTGACGGAGGTAACGGAGGTGTATTGGTAGGCCTGACGGGACGTACGGACGGGGGGAGAGGGGAAGAGGAAATGGAGGTGGTGTAGGAGGTGGGGTAGGCGGGAGGCGGGCTGAAGAGGTGAGAGGTTGCGGGGGTATGCGAGATAATAAACGTACTCGTGTGTTAGCGCCCAAACACACAGAAATACATACATACAGACATACATGCGAATACATTTCCCTTGTCCACCCCACCTTAGTCACCAGGAAGTTGGCCTCCACGTCCAGTACGGCAAGCACGACATATACGTACCAGGGGTTACTCAGCCGTAGACCTAAAAGGAACAGGGGAAGGCCCGGAGGTTGGTTGGCGGTTGGACGACAGCGGTTGGACGAAGGCGATTGGGATACAAAAAGGATTGCATAACCCCAGCGAGTAGATAAGTTCATAAGCCCGCGATATGTGGAATACAGATGGAACCACCCAACCGCCAACCGCAACCCTCACCAACAAGTCCAACCAACCCAGTTCAAACTACCAACCAACCTCACCTTTTTTTCTCAGGTGGTAGGCTCCACACGTTGTGGCCAGCAACAAATAGTTGAGGACCGCCTGGGTGGTGGGAATGTTGACTCCGTGGGAAACCAGCAGCCCGGACGTGATGCCTAGGGGAGTACGACATCGGGCCCGCGAACAGGGCGGCACGGTGGAGTGGGTCGAGGTTGGGTGAAGTAACCCATGGTTACGTTGTAACCGAGGATACGAAATTAAATTCAAAAAGCGAGAAACACCCGACGTGGTGAAGACAGGAGGGAGGAGGGGAGGGAAGGGGAAAAGTGGAGATTGCGAAAATAATGGGAAAAGCTGCGTAGACCATTTTTTGGGCAAAAAGGGAGAGAGGGGATGCGGGAGCGGGAATGCGGGAGACGAGAGGAGAAATATATGCAGGATTGCACACATGGCATGGATTGCTGATGAGTCGAAGCCACCAAACTCCAAGCCCCGATGGCCAATGTGCAACTGCGTCGCAAGTGCCTCAGCTTACCCATAATGCATAGAAGGAGCGACAGAACCTGCGCCAGCAGGAGGGATCTCAGGAGGGGCGAGCGCCATAGGGAATCTGCGGATCTGCCGCTGTCTTCATCTTTGGGACAGGACATGCTGAAGACGGCGGCGCGTTCTCGGCGCGCAGGCAACAAAACGCCTTGGGAGGTCTCCGTTTTGACTGGACTGGTATTCGGTGGCTGCTTGGTCGGACGAAACGTGAGCTGCCGGGCGGTAAACTGGGTACGCGCTGAGGTGCTTGGCTGTGACGACGAAAACGTGTACCGATACGATGTCCTATGCACGGCCTTCATGCAACGTAAGCTTAAAGCGTCCCATGAAGGATGGTAATGCTCATTCAACAAGCTGTCGATTTGCGAGAATACAGTAACTGACAACTGCGTATAGAGCACTCAACGTAAGGGAATGAGGAGCGGAGAGATCAATATCTCAAATAAATTTACCATCTACACACTTATTTAAGTATTGCATAAGGGCTTGGCCCGCGAGGACAGTCTCGTCTTTTCGAGGTACGTGGGCCGCAGAGTAAATCAGAGGCGTCTCCAATGTGCTTAAGAGTGTGGGGTTATAAAACGGCCTAATACTTTGCCCTGCGTTCAATAGAGTCCTAAGCGCAAGTACGAACCAAACAACGGAAAACCGAAACTCCCGAAATCAGAAATAGAGTGCCCGAAGCCGGCCGGCTTTCAGGATCATACGCCGTATACGAAAGGTGTCATGCGGCCCGATGGGCTGCCCAACGACCTAAGTCCGCGGTCAATGATGAGGAACAGGTCGCGGGCCATGACCGCTTTTTTGGTGATCTTGCTAGTTGTTAGGTATTCAAGTAACACAGTCAAACATGATATCGCTGATACGCACACTTAATGGCCAGCCGTCAAGTGCGTTGCACAAGCTTTACCAAGGTACATGGAAACAAGCATTAATAACATACAACCAAAGCATGTCCAACGGGTAAGCGTATAGGAGCAAACAACCAACCAGATATGCACTCGTGCAACGCAAAGCAAACTGATGAAAAATAATACGGACTTGCGTTGCGGAAGCCGGGTTAGTTGGCGTAAGACCCTTGGGCGATGCAAGCTTTTCGGTTGCTTCGCCCCTGTTGCATGGCCCCTGCGCAAGGATGACGCACAAATCGAGAATGCTTCGCCACGGCCCGTGTCCTCAGGTCCGTATAAATAGCACGCTTGGGATCATTCCTTATTTTTTATGTTCGTGAGGCCTTTCATTTCAGCTTAGGCCTCCTTAGCACAGCATTCCTGTAACAGGGATGGCAGTTACTCTTGGAACAACAACTAATGCGGAACAACTATATCGCGCAGGAAAGCATTGACGCATTGGAGATTTTCTTCCCAAGAAGCGAGTTGCAGAGACTCACAGGGAACCGGGGCGCTGGATCACGCGAGGAAGTCACCTGCTCGCCTCTCGGTTCAGATGGACCAGCACCATCGCTGCTAGACCCGTAAACGCCCATGTTGACCGGTGCATCTGGTTCCCTTTGAGTCTCTGCATCTGGTTTCTTAGGCAGGAAATCTCCAATACGTCGATGCTTTCCTGCGGCGATTTCTGCCTTAGTCTCTTTCCGAAAGGCCCTTGGGTTTACAGCAGCTGTCCGCCCAACATTGGCTAATCCTAACATTGGATCGCAAATGACGACAGCTAGCAAGATCAGCAAGGAAGCAATCATGCTCCGCTCCCGAAAACAGAAATTGAGTTCTTGAAGCTAACCGACTTGCAGAAATAGGATCATACGCCGTACGCCGAAGGGCCGCCCGAAGACCGAACGTCGATGAACGACCCGAAACTCCCGCCGATGTCTGCTTGGCTCCAGACATCAGCAAAAGGCGTATTTTCTGGTTTCGGAAACGGGTCCACTCTATCATCATGGACTAGCGGTTCCGACCGTCGGGCAGCCCTTTGGGCCGCAGAGGAGCTTTCGTATGGTATGGCAGGCGAGTGTCCTACTTCTGCAAGCGGGTCGACTTTGGAAACTCAATTTCTGTTTTCAGGCGTCTAGCTACAGTTCAAAGACCCTATGAACAATACATGATTGTGTAATGTAGTTTTAAAATTTCGGCACGACCGGAAGTGCCAGAAGGTTTTGCCGGTGTTTGCTAGGGTTTTCCATCGACCGATAAGATTGCAGGGTGACCAGGTCACCCTCTCAAAATATCTCAAAATATCTCAAAATATCGGTTACCCTACCGAAGTGACCGGTTGGGTTATAGCTAACCGATCGGTTACCAATCCTGCATGTCATAGGACGGAGGGGGTATGTATGGAGGGGGAGATATATATAGGGAGGACATCCCACAGCTGTGCGGCAGCTATAGAGCAAGGGCGGCGGCAGCAGCGGGCTGTGGCGCCATCGTGCCGAGACCCGTTACTCCTTTCCCTGGCCGTGTAATGCTCGACGGAAAAAAGTAGGAAAGGAGGGAGTTGGTTGACTGTTGGGGAAAGCTTATTTTAGATCTCTTGCAAGGGAAAGAAAGGGAGTGCCGACGATTCAGTGCTACTCCAGTTTCATTAGAGGTCCGACACCCCGGACAACCATCCCGCAACATCTGCCAAGCCCCACCCATCAATCCTGCATTGCCACGCAGCTTGCTCTTTTGCCTCTCTGTCTTTTGTCCCATCGCCCCTCGCTTTCATTTAAACTTTCCTTCCCGCCAAGTCCGCTACGGAAACGTCTTCTTCCGCGTCGATTTCACGTCGTCGTCCAGGCTATGAAATGCATGAATCCCAGTTGCATCTCCATATCCGCCGAGCCTGCCTACGCCGGCCAGGCGATGAAATCTTTCAAATGCACGTATATTCTCCTTGCTACTTGCAGAATCCACTTCTACATAAAAACTCTGAGAACCCAAGAACCTAGCTAATTTAAAACGCGCGGGCTCGCCCCACACAGACCTGATCAGATTCCATGAGATTGCGTTTTCCAGAGATCGAAACCACTCCAAAACGCGCTCAGAAAGCTCATCATTTAACGGTACTCGAGTACAGCTAATCTCTAAATCCTTACTAGGAAATTGACCAACTTGAAAAGACAAACCTGAAAATAAACAAGACGGACATCATACTTTAAAAATCCTAAATCTTGGGTCGGCGATAAGCTCTGAGCGCAAGGGAGCTTGCCACCACGCTAACGCTGCTCAGCGCCATGGCGGCCCCAGCCACCCAGGGAGGGACCAACGTATGGGTCAGCGGCCACAGTGCTCCAGCTGCCAGGGGCACCGCCGCCGAGTTGTAACCGTACGCCCACACGAAGTTGAGAAGGATGCGGCGAAAGGTGACACGGGAAATGTCCAGCGCGACCACGACGTCCTGTTTGGATTCAGGAGGTTTTTAGATTTTAAACCTTCGATTTGGATTTGAGTTCGCATAGGAAAATTGAATATAACCGAAATCGCCGCGGGAGTTGCAACTTCCACGACTTTGAACCAAAGAAGTTTTTTTTCTGTAGCAAGTCATGGATGATATGAGGCCACAGCAGGGAGGACGTGCAGGCGCACACAGTTTCTCGGTACATTGCCGTAATTTGCAAAACTGGTCCGGTGCATTGCCGTATTTTGCAAAACTGGTCCGGTGCATTGCCGTATTTTGCAGTACTTACTTCTAGGTTGCTTCGCATAAGCACCACGCTGGCCGCCTCCACCGCAATGTCGGTGCCGGCGCCGATGGCGATACCCACGTCCGCCTCGCTCAGAGCTGGAGAATCGTTAATGCCGTCGCCAACCATCGCAACCACGCGAGGCTGCGGAAGCGCCTTCCCTGCCTGCCGCCCCCTCCGCCGCCACGCCCGCCGCCACCACCACAGTGCCCCTTGCCGGTCCTCCTCTGATAGCACCGACTCACCCGCCTTCCCATCCGCCAGCAACGGCGCATGCAAGCCCTCATCCCCGCCGCCACCTGACACGTGTACGGTAACATGGTTGGTCCTGTCGTACGCGGCATCCTCGCCGTTGCCGTCGTTACCGTACTCATACTCGTCCGCGGCAGCGGCCGCCGCCGCTGTACGGCCTGCCTTGAGCTCTCGAATGAGCTGTAGCTTGGCAGCGGGTGTAGCCTCCGCCAAAACACAGGTGGCAGGGATACCCAACTCGGAGGCTACGGCCCGAGCCACACGTCTGGAGTCTCCGGTGGCCATCCACACCTCCAGGTCCATGCGGTGTAGCGCCGAAACCACGCGGCAGGCCTGTAGAACACGGCATACAGTTCTAGAGGGAGTATAGATAGGAAGCGACGGACGGGGGCAGCTAATACGGCACGTGGCTCCCGGGCACAGCAACGGCGCGGTCCGCGATCTCGTCCTCGGCGAGAACCCCCGGTAACGGTAGCCCCAACCCCCGGTCTGCCTTCTCCATAGCAAAGCGAAAGGTGCCGGGGCAAACTCGAGAATTGTAAACACAGGTGCGACGTACCTCGGGCTTGACGCTATCCCGCAGTGCAACCAGAGCCAGCGGGCTTCCCGCCGCCGCCACCGCCACCACCGTACAACCCTCCTGCAACTCCAAGCGCTCGAGTACGGCTAACGCCGCCGAACTCAGAGGGCACCCTTGCTCCTCCATCCAGGCCGCATTGCCAATTGCGACAGTGAAGCTGCCGCTGCCGCCGCCTTTGGCGGCGGCGGCGATGGCCGCTGGCGTTGCGCCGCCGAGGGCGGCGCGTACGGCAGCTGCAGCGCCTGGCGACAGCTCCGCCGTACAGGCGATACCGCGACCTGGCACCGCGCGGACGTCGCGCACGTGGACGTCGCGGGCCGCGACGGCGGCG